GGCACTGTACCCATACTCTACCTCCTGGGCACCATGAGCTAAGTGTCTTTACTCCTCCATACCCTTCTGCCATGATGTTTCTGCCTTGGAGACAGCTGACCATGGCTGGAATCTCCTGAATCTGTAAGTCAAATCAAACCTCTTCTCCTTAACTTGTGTAAGTTAGTGTGTCTCAGCAAAGGGAAAGCTTACCTATACAGGGGGCAAGCTGCTGTAGTCTGGGACTAAAAAGAGAACGTTTATTGCTATCGAGTCATTCCCTTTCCCTAAGAAAAACATTTTTGGAAAAGTCTTAAAATGATGTTGAATTACTTAAAAGATATATTTCCATGTATTTTATGTTTTTGCATCTGTACTCATATAGATACAAAATAGTGAAGTTTATTGTTGTAAGTTGTATGCTTGAAACGTTGCAAAAATGTTGAATGAGTCCCTTCCCAGCCTGTTTAATACATTGTCAGTACAGAAAAAAACTAAGATTCCCCAGCTGCATCAGTATGTCACTTTTGTTGACAGACTGGGTACGATAAATTTTCATTTAGAGTGAATCACTCAGATTTACACATTGTCTTTGCCGTGACATGACGAAGAGACTTGGGTGACCTCTGCATCTTCAGCAGGGGTGATTTTTCTGTTGACTTTCTTTAGAGCAGCTAAGGTGTCCTAATGCTCCAGGTGCACCTAATTTAGAATGGAAGTAGGTCAAAATACACACCTTGATAATTAAAACTAGAGATACCAGGCCTTTGCATCTAGAAACTACATAACTGTAATAAATGTGAATATAAATCATGTGTAAAGGCAACTGTGGAAACTGTCACAAGGACTTTCACTGGCGACCAGTGGCTTGGGGTATTGGTAGTAACCTTGGTTTATTTACTACTTCATAACAATGCATGCTGAGGATTCTAGGTCAACTAGTAAAATGAGCTCAACTTTTGTAAGTTCTTGGCAGACTCAGTTGGGGCATGCAAACAAATAAAAGATGTTACTTATTGTTTCCCCTGGAATATTCACCTTCCTCTGATAGTAAAAATAGAAGGTTTAACTGTGCGTTTCACTCTTTCCCACGCATTGCCAAATTATAAAACTCTTCCCCAATATGAACTTGACATCAGTTTAACAGTAAAGCAAAGCTGAGGTTCAAGTTGACAATTGGGTCTAGTAATATGGCAAATAAATAATCTTTGAGTCTTATCTGAATGTTTCATGGAACCTAAATATTGACTTCCACTTGTAGGCTGTGTGGCCCTCTGAGTTGTCTACATCATAATTTCCTGAACCTGTGCATATATTACTGTGACTGATAATCCCAATATGTCAGCTTCACTGGGTTAAACGATGCTTAGCAGATGAGTAAAGTTCACTCCTGGGTGTGTGGAGGTGGGTCATGGAGAAGTCACCCTGGGTTAATACCAGATCTCTTGCCCATTCCTCTCTGGCACTTTTCTCCTGTTCTGCTTCGTGAAAGCCATGCACTAAGCTATTTTGCGCCCCCTTGCCCTTTTACCATGATGTTCCTACTGGAGCCTGGGCACATGGACTGAGTCTTCTGAAATTTATCCAAATTAAACCTTTAAGGTGTTGGTGTGGGGTATTGTGTCCAGCAATGGAAAACTGACAAATACAGTTACGTTATATGGCAAAAGTAACCTGGAAGATTTTTTTCTTTTGACAGAGTCTCACTATATAGTGTTCAGACTGTCCTTGAACTCACTATGTAGTCCAGGCTGGCCTTGAACTCACAGCAGCCCTCCAGCCTCAGCCTGACAAATGCTAAGATTATGGGCCTGTACCATCATACCTGGCCCTTTTGGTTTTTATTAATTTAAAGATTTTGAGTTACAGAGATTATTCTGGACTGAGTGAGTTCATTAAGTGTTCTTAAAAGACAGAGGCCGAGGGAGATTTGACCACAGAAGATAAAGAGAGGATGATAAAAACAGAAGTTGCAGTGATGTAATTTAAGAGCTGAGAATGGCCTGCAAGGCAAGAAGGGCAGGTCCAGAAATCACAATGAAGCAAGGAAACAGACTGTTCCCCTAGAGACCTGAAAGGAACAGTGCCTGGCCAATACTCTGTAGATTTCTGCCCTTCAGAACCCTAAAATATTAAATGTGTGGTGTGGTAAGGCAATTAATTTGTCATAATTTGTCACAGCTGCAATAGGACAGTAACATACCACTGCTTTAAAAGAATAGCTGAAGTTATAATGATTTTTATTGTTTTCCTTCTTCTTCTAAATAAAATATTGGTTTAACAAGTGATAGAACTGTAAACTAATGATTTTCAGAGGAGGCAATTAAAACATTTTAACCTCTTAATAGCTGTGGCATCTCTGATCTGTGGAAATATATTAGAGAAAAAGGTGGCAGAGAAGGAGTGAGAGCCTGCTGCCTACTCCAAATGGAATCAGTGGTTACTCAAAATGGAATTGTCTTAGCCAGTGAGAGAGCCAATGCTTCCCTTTAACAAAAGCAACTAATCTCTTCAGCTGCTATTAATAAATGATAAAGGCAAGGACACTGGGTTATTTTTTTTTTAATGTCCTTCCCAGTCTTCACATTCTCCCCATTTTAGATCTTTCACTCATTCTTAAACATTGCCTAATGCACCAGAACATTGCACTAAGTTGCTGTCTGGCTCTCAGTACGAGCATTAAAATAAAAGCATCATCTAAGAGGGGAAAAGGATTATAGTAGAAATAAAGGCCTTTTGTAAATTCCTTTCTAAGAGCTAGGCATCATTCCAGTAAAATAAAGGGCAATTTTTACTGGACTTTAACTTTCTCCTTTTGGTGCTACTCAAAGTCCTTCCTTTGGACATTAACTATACAAGCCAATGATGAATATTTTACCCAAATTTATGCCTTATAATCATAGTCACTTAAAAATTTGAGGCTAACCAAAGAGATTTCACTGTACAGAGCATGATTTTAAAGTTTGCATTTTAAATAATTATTAATAGAACAAATAAGTAGAATATTTCTTCTCTGGTGCACATACAACTAAATTTTACTTTTTTCATAAATTTGTGCCATTATATATAAATTCCCATTGGGAAAAATAAATAAGTATTTTATGAGTGAAATGTAAGTTTTCAATAGTGTGATCCTGTGAAAAAGTTAATATTCCTGACAAGTAAAGAGCAATAGGCATTTTGACATGGGAAAACAAATCTTCATATACCTTGCATATCATCAATACTAAAACATCTACAAATGCGACATGGGATAAATATTTATAAGAGTGAGGTAAAGTAAAATATAAAAAGAAAGATATAAATGCTTATATCATGGTCATTAATGGATTATTGGAGAAGGGGCAAATTAGATAAGCTTATCTGTACTTTAAACTATTCTTTCTCTAATTTTTATGAAATCCAATTTAAAGGAGAGTAAGTTTGTATGGAAACTATATGCTGTGTACATGTGCATATTGCCCATCTTGTTTACACCATTTATGATAACACTACTTTGTAAAATACAAGGAAACAGAATTCCTGGGAGGTACTTTGATTAGGATTTCACAGGTAGCATAAGATAGAGATGAGGTGCCTTTTGATATATAGGAGATATTCTGAAAAATTAGTGTCAAAAGGGGGAAGATAATGTTCAACTGAAATTTACCCTGATAAAATTAATGTAGGAGGATGGTATTTTGAACCTTGTTGAGTTATTGTGTCTCATTGTTCTGTGTGTTCTATGTAACAACTGGTAGCTGATCAATTTTTGTCAGTGGAGAGATTCATCCACTCTTTTCACATTTCCCTAGTAAAAGAAAAGTCATTAAAATAGATCTGTGGATCAAATGAAAATGAATCGATTACTACATTTATAGTCTAATATTTATGTAAACATAAACAGTTAATCACATGTACATTATATTTACTATTTGGTGCCTGAACTTTCCTGGGAGAAAATTCATGTAACTATCATGTTACAATGACCCAAAAGATTACCAGTAGTCTACAGAGCACATTAAGATAGCATTTAAAAATACAATAGCATATTATAAATTTTTTTATTTATATATTTATTGGTACATTTTAGGTAAACAATATATTTACATTTATCATTGGGTGTTTGTACCTGAACATGATGTATCTTAGTTCTTATTTTTTCTCCCATTACCTGTGCGCCCTTCACCCCCTCCACCCTTCCCTATTTACACAGACTTTGATTCCCTTTTTTTTTTCCTCATAATTTTTCCTTTCTCTTCTTCCCTTTCCCCTTCCCCTCCCACCATCCCCAAACCCTTGGACCTTTTCCTATTTCAAATTATCAATTATTCATTTTAATCATTTTCATCCTTATTTAAAATGTGCTATGTCCCAGATTTGCATCTAAGAATTTTTGTTTGTTTTTTAATAATCTATTCCAACACAGGCCACTCAATAAATACTTTTGAGTTTGAACTATTATGTGACCCATTATACAGATGAAGAAAGTAAGTCACAGAGATAAAGTAATTTGTACAAGATAACACAAATAATAAAGTGCTTAACTGGGATTCAAATCCAGGTATCCTGATCCCAGGGTCCTATATGTTAAAATACATGCTAAAATGTTATCATTTTAATGAGAATTTAATGCATTGTCATAAGGTATTAAAAAGTAAAAAAAGAAAATACAAGAATGTAAAAGCAGCTTCTAAGAGCTAAATCATCATGTGATTCTTCAGCATGATAGAGTCACAAAAGATTGGGCAGCAGCGTGAATGGAAAATGCTCACGTAGGGACCACCCTCATGACATTTCGGCACAGAAAACATATAAAAAATTTCTGAAAACAGTCAGCAGCAAACAACAATCTGGTTACTTACAAAAACTGAGAATTAGAATGCCGTCTGATTTTCTGTCATCAAAATTGATTGTGACAGTGGAAAAAAATCAGTTATTCCAAGTTCTAGAAGAAAATGCCATTCCTTGCCAAAATATCAAGGGCAAGTGTGGCATGGACACATACTTGGATAAGCATAGGCTGAAAATGTGCCACTCACCTCCTAATGTGCTGTTCTGCAATGTCCTTCAGCAGATTGAAGTTGAAATCCAGGAAAGATGAAGCAGTGGGATTCAACAACAAGATGCAAAACCTACATAAAATTTAAAGACACAGCTGTTAAGTGTGCATTTGGCTTAAACATTTGCTAACTGAAGTAAGTTTGCAGAAATAAAAAATAATAAATGTCAAATACATTTGTGGGAAAAATAATGATGAATTAAATATGGGAAAACACAAAGCATTATATTTCTTATGTACGTCCTGAAAAATCAGGAGATAATATTTTAATTTGATAGGTTATGACCTAGTACTTAAGAGACTATGTTAAGTCTGTACAGATAATGAACAAGGTAGGCTAAAAATACATTTTTATAGCTTTATAAAAATGGGCTAGGTAAGAAAAGCACAAAAGAAAGTAAGTCATAATGGTGATATTTTGTTTTAGGTAGACTATAATTGTGTTTTGTTAAAAAGCAAAGTATATAAACCCATCATGTATGATTATGAAGATAAGTTGCAGGATTATTAAAAAGAACCAAATAGAAAGCAAATGAAACTAATTAAAATTACAGATAAACAGAAACTAACATATTAATGGAGTACCAGTTTGCAGTTGGAAAAATCAATTCGTTATCTTCCATTCATTTACATTGTTTAAATTATAATTTCACTTTATTTAAAACAAAATTACACATTTTATGCAAGAGTTTTGGGAAAACAATAGCTATCTTACTGTATAATGAGGTAGCTGTTGCATATGAAATCTAATATCCTCTTCAGAAATATTGGTGAATGAGGAATCTGCAGATGTAGTCAGAAAAGATGTAGTCAGAGGTGTAGCCATAAAAAAAGTCCAGACCATGGAATGGCATGGTGAGACTTACAACTTAGAATACCATTTTAATATCTGGATGGATGATAGGTCAAAGAGAAAACTAGAGACAAGAATTCAACAAGGAGATTGTTCTGAGCATCCATGTGAGTTTGAAGGTAGCTTGAACTCAGATGAAGCAGTGGCTTCAAATGGAAGGCTGACGAGATCAGTGAGACAGAGGAGGGCGAGAGCTTAGGGATAGATTACTGCATGATATTAAGGAAAAGACAATACTTATGATGACCCGATGTTTCACTGAAAAACTAGATGAATGGTGGTGTCCACTACAAGAGCTAACATAGCAAGAGAAATTGTTTTGAGAAAAAGAAAAAAATGATTTCAATATTTGGAAATATTGAATAAGAGAGCCTTAGTCTATTTGTTTTACTATTCCAAAATGTCATGAACTGGGTAGCTGAAAAACAGCAGGAATTTATTCTTCACAGTCTGGAGGATGGGGAGTCCAAGAACAAGCACCGACAAATTCAGTGTCTAGTAAGGATCGTCTCTTGGTTTGTAGAAACTGTACATTCCCGCTGTATCCTCACATGCTAGAACAGGAAAACCTTGCCCTCTGCACCTTCTTGCAAGAGCACTAATCCCATTACAAAGGAAGGAAATGTCAAGACCTAATCATTTCTCAAAAAGCTCACCTCAAAGACTATCATCTTGTTAGTTAGAATCCCAGTCTATGAATTTCAGAGGGACACATGCATTCACACCTCATGGGTCTGTTGTCCATTCAGGTAGATGTTGGAAACCCAACATCGAGGAATCAACTTTCAGGTAGCTCTCTGTTGTCTTCAATATAATATCCTGCATGCTGGAAATGCCATGATGATCAAGGATTTAGAACTTAATTGTGTGTCTTTTTCACAGCAATAAAATGGGGCAAAAAGATAAGATGGTATCAAAGATATTTTGAGATTCTGAACTATTTTTCATAATTCCTGATTGATATTAGTCTGACATTGATCACTTCATGAGGTATGTAGAGTTGAGTTGTAGTTTATATGCAAGAGCTACGTGCATTGCAGTCAGCTCCTTGCATGTTTGATAGTTTACACAAAACCAAGACAGTAAATGCTATCCTCAGACTGCATTTACTCTTGTGTAGTCTCTGACATTTTTCCTCATTTTTGATTTATTATTGTTTTCATGGTTTACATCTCATGTAGTAATGCCCAATATGTTCCTGATTTTAAGCAAATAATTTGCATTATTTATATGTAATTCATTTATTATAATCATATTAATGTTAACAAAAATATATCTTTAGGAAAGCTAGTTGAATTGGGAGGGAATGTGCTGTGGGATTCTATGGGATCTTTCAAAGATAATGCATATGTGCTGGATAGATAGATGAAATTTTGGTCTGAGAAAATTTTTGTGGCTTAGGTTGATGAGGTCTGGCTCAGTTTATATTTCATGACTGTATCATGATTGCCCAAAATATAGCTAATTTTTGGCTTACTTTTTATCTGTTCCTCCTTGGTTTGGATTGGAAATTTGTCTTTTCTAAGCATTTGGAAATAACCCAAAATGAAATTTCTCTATCAAATCCTAGAGCATTTCCCTAGGGAAGATGCCAAAATTGACCACTTATGCCAAATAGGAAAACCTCAAAATCCTCTCCAAATGTAAACATGATCATTTTCCCAAGTGTCTTTGAAAGCAAAGAGATCTGAGATTTGCATGTTTTACTTAATAGTGCTCAGATTGAAATTTGATTCACCTTACTTTTCATTAAATACCAGGAAGAGAATAATCTAGGCTTTTTATAGAACTCAATACAATCTGTTTCCAGCTGTGTCCTATGAATATAAAAGCATTTCAAATGATTAAAAAATAATCTTTTATCTGTAATTCAACCATAGTACACATGATCACAGTAAAACTGAGTTAAATTACAAATGTTATCTTCCAGATAAATGGGTCTGTATTGTAAGTAGAGAAAAGTTTTATGTTTATGAAACTGAAGATTAAAAAGGAACAAATTCTAGTTTCTATTTAAAGTCCACATTTTGGTAAAGTACTTTCTACTTAATGTTTATTGGCTTATACAGACTGGCACATATTAAATTAGTGTAAGGATTTATTTGTAGTGATAATCTTGTTCTTTTAGTGACACAATTTAATAGTTTACCTCATGAGATAATCCACACTTCAGTGCTATAAGCGAATTCAAAATTATATATAACTTTTATCATTCAATACTGTATCAACTTTGAGAACTTTATGTAACATGAAATCTGGTTCATTGAGTAGGGGATGAGTTAAATGATGATTGTTCATGCATAATATGTGTGTTTCCATTTTCCTAGGTGTACTATGAAACCTATCAAGTGAAGTCTTAGAAACCAGAAAGGCAACGGAGGCAATAGAGAATTCAGTCTTATGTTAAATTAACATCAGAAATTTTAGTGGTTTCAAGGAACATGAAAATATTCAACTTGTGAGCTGGGTTATCCTATTCCTCACAATTATCAAAATTTATTGTTGAATACAGTGGACTCTTGAGTTTCAACTGGCCTGACATGAACAACTTAGCTAAGGACCAGAATGTTAGTTTTAACTTACGACAAAAGTCTTGAGTTATGACCCAAATACTGGTCACTTATGCTTCCAGATGGTCTTAGATACAAATTTAACCCTTACAGAGTTCTGGAAGGAACATTACAACATCCTTTTCTTTGTGGGGTTAATTGAGAAATTCTGGGCCAATGTCTAAGGAGACTGAACTCTGCCTCTGTACAGGAGAGAGACTTTGAAGGCTGTGTAGAGGAGCCTGAGTTTTCATTGACCAACTTGAGTTACAACCAGGCCTCACAAATGAATTGAGTTTGTAAGTCAAGGTCTACTGTACTTCAGTATAATTTACTTTCTCTAGATCAAAAAGTATACACTACTCATATACATGCAGTATAGTAAGATTTGGAATTGTCCAATGTACATATTAAAGATAAATGACATTCTTGCGGTCAAATGCTTTTTATTTTCTTTGACTTTAGTTAAATTTTGTATGTGGTAGTAGTTATGGTTATAAATATCTTATTGGCATGACTGTGGTTGGCATGTATTTTAAAATAGCTCTAAATCCCCTTATAGAATAAATATGTTCACAAAGATAAGCATATCAGAAATGCCCACACAACCTATCTTCAGTGAAATTACATGATTAAATTATCCCCATGTGTTTGGGGTCAAACCAATAACAGCATTAAGAATTATAAGGTTTCTACAATTCTGCAAGAGAAAGCAGAGACAGGAAGTACTTAATTTTCAAATGGCCCTGAGAACTGAAGAACCCAAATATCATCTGATTTGTTGTAGAAATTTGTTGGGCAAATCTTGAGCAGTTCAACTAAGACGAGATCTACAAAACTTAATTTAGCAAGTAGATTAGTGGGAATTTTAGACAACGTTAAGGTAGTTTGGTTCTTATGAATTCCTGCAATGAAATAACTTGGAACTCACTTTTGAGATTAAACATCACACTCAGGTAAAGAGGCTGATAATAACATCCACTCTAAGAAAACACGGATTAGAGTACAAAGGACTCTAGTATCCATATAAAAGTCAGCGAAGGAAACAGAGTCAGTATACAAAAAAACCACACTGTCAGGCTGCACTTTTGAATCTTATAACAGTATAAGATGAGCATCCCTAGTTCAAATATATGAAATCTAAAATCCACCAAATTCTGAAAGATTTAGGCACTGGGGAGGCTGAAGCAAAAGGATGGCCATGAGTCCAAGGTCAGCCTGGCCTGCTGAGTGAGTTTAAGGCCAATGAACTATCTGATGAGACCCTGTCTCAAAAAACAAGCCCAAAGAAACAGAAGTACTTCAGACATGCTTACAAAAACATGAAGTCACTCACAAAAAAAGAATAACAGATGTTTATAAGATAAATTGGAAAATCTGATATTCAATGTTACAAAGGGACATTTTACAACACAAAAATTTAGTAATATAAGGACAATTTATAAAGCAATATATGAGGCAATTATTGCCTGACTAGTCAAATTGATAGTTCAATGTAAAGATACTTTTATATAACATAGGCATACTGCTATCTATAAGCAGCACATCAGTTAATATTTTTCTGAGTATTTTATAAGAAATACACTAAAGGAATTTAAGATAAAAGAAAAGAGTGAAGTGAAACTATCTCAAGTATTTTAGTGAATATCAGGTATCATTTTATCATTAGAA